ATTTTGTTGCATGTAGCATGTTTATCTTTGTGTTATGAATCTGATATATTATGTTGTATATCCCTCTTAGATTTTTAGCTCATGTGTTCATCTGAAATTATTTGTTTTGGGGTTGGTTCTATGTTTCTTAGACTTATTTCGATCTATCTCTTTTTTATGTTGTCAAAGGGGGAGGAGTTATAGTGTGAGTCTAAAATTGTGTGTTTTATGTTGTGTTATTGTGTGTAATGTTTCATAGGGGGCACAAGTATCCATTTTCCTTGGCTCAAAGTCGACTCAATTCCAAATGAAAGCTTGTGAAACATGAAAAAGGGGGAGACTAAAGTTGAATGTCCCTAACACATTATGTTATTTCTCTGAAATTATGATTGGCATGAATTTTGGTAAAACTAACTTTGCAGCAATATGTTGAACAAGATGTTTATGCTTGCAGACTCAACATGTCGAGTGTGATGTCCTAACCAGAAGTATAGGATATCTGGTCTGTTATAGTTTTGCAGTTTAGAATTTGTTTCAACTTGTTGTTTGAACATGTCAAATGGGATGTACTAACCAGAAGTATAGGATATCAGGTCTGCTACAATTGATAGTTTAGAAGTTGTTTCAACTTGTTTTTTGAACATGTCGAATGAGATGTCCTAACCAGAAGTATAGGGAATCATGTCTGCTACAGCTGACAGTTTAGATTCAGTTGTTGTGATTTAATTACTGAATATTCTGGGAATATTTAGTAATCTTATGCGGCGTCCAAGATTGATAAATCAGATATTTTATGTTGGTATTCAAGATATTCAAAGTTTCTAAATATAGAAATGTTTTAGGAAAGCTTTGGTTGAGGACCTATTTTCTTAGAGAAGTTTTTGCAGACTTTGTGCAGTCTCCTTGCTATGTTTTTGAGGCCCAAATATAGTTGGGAAAAAGGTTATAAATAAAAGCATTATAACCTAGAAAAAAATATCAGTCGTAAATTAGAAAAGATGTAATAATTATGGTTGAGTTTGTGTGCCACTCTCTAGGAGAGTTAATGTGTGTTACATAGTTGTTATCTCTGTTATTGTTCTCCTTGAAGATGTGAAGCAAGATTGAGTATTGTTCTTGGAGGAAGCTTATAAGCAACTCTAAGTATTGTTCTTGATCATAGCTTTTAAGCAAGATCAAGTATGTTATTCTAAATTAATGGGTGTCTTGATTAAGGTGTTTCTTTTGTATTTGAAGTGTGATCTTCATTTAGGTGAAAGGTCGTCGATACAGTAACTGGGACTATTAGACATCATTGTAGTGATTGGAGGTGAGATGGGATTTCTCATATCTAGGGAGGACCTAGGTAGAAGTTGCATAGGATAGCGATTAAGGATGGAAAGTTGTAAACATGGGATTGTTTAGGCTTTGAACTGATACTATAGTGGATTTCCTTCTTGGCTTGGTAGCCCCTAGAGTAGGTGTTGTTGTGCACAAAACGAGGTAAATAATTATATGTGTTGTTGTTTACTTTTAAGTACTGTTTATACATGTTTATACCTTGCCCGTGTGTTTTGTTCATATCAGATGTCCCAACATGTCATAGAACATCTGAAATCTGATATACCAGAATTTTAATTGGTATCAGAGAAGGCATCATGTTCTATTTTTGGGTGAGATCCTGGGATGATACTTTCTGGTTATAGGCAAGGAAGGAGGTATCTACTTAAAATCTATTTGAACTTGGAAAGTTCATATTGTTGTTGGAATGGTCCCTTGAAGTTGAGGATGGACTATTCATGACAGGATATATATTGGACATGTCTGTTATTATCAGGCCTGTAGCTTTGGTGGTGAGCTATTATTTTTATGTTTGATTTATTTTCAAACCTATGTTGTTGGCACCTGGATTATGGTGTTTGTGTGCAAGGGTTTGTTGTGCCTGAAGGATGTCGAGGATTTGTTTGTTCCGCTACATGGTATTTGATGTAGACATGGTTGCTTCTTTGAATGGCATTAGGGTTTGGTCTCCTCAACGGGTTTATCCTATGGTGATGGGATATGTGCAAGACTGTTTCAACCAACTTTGTAAAGTTGCCAATGATACTTTAGTTTTATTTCTCAAGTCCACTCATAAAGGCGCTTTAGTGTGTGGTTGATGTATTTTTCGAGAAACCTGACATTTACTTGACATACTATTGAAGAAAGGATAAAGCCATTTATTTTGGTTTCTAAAAGAGTCTTCCTAAGTTGTTTGACCTAATTAGGAAAGTGAGTCTGAGTCTTGCTGGTGTTGGTGTAGATGGAGCTTGGATTAATTTTGAAGACCTTGAAGGTGATCAAAGGATTTTTTAATTTTCTGGAAGCAGTAATAGCTTTAGAACCAAGCTCAGTTTTGTGTTCCAAAAAAAGGGAACTGATGTCCTACTATATGTTGGGACATCATGTCAGCATGTGTGCAGCTTTCTATTGAAAAGCAAATGCTTTGGGTGCTAAACATATGTGTTGATCATATATGTTTGGAACCTTCTCCTAGTTTGGAAGAGGAGGCATCTGGGTTGTGTATCTAATATGTTTTATACATAAAACATGTCTTAGATAAGTGGACTGATCAAGAGTTGATCAACCTATTGATTACTCCTGATGTCAGATTATTTCTAATCAATGACTATAGGAGTGCAGAAATTGTACTGCTTTTGGAAGGGAGGATGTATGATTCTCTAAGGTGTTCTTTCCAATTGTTGAAAGGAGTCCATAATCTAGAGTGGAAGACCTTGAAGATATGTCAGACGTAATGTCTTGACATCATAGTGCTGAGAATTTATTTTTCTCAACATGTATGGCTGGTGTTTCTCTTAAACAGGATAGAGCACTACAACATTTAGCCTCTCCAACAACAATTGAAAAGCGTTGCCAGAACTCTGAAAATCGTTGCCTAAACAAATAGGGGACGTTTTCTAGGCGTCTCCTGTGCGAGCGTTGCCTATTGTTTGAGGCGACGTTTTTTTTAATGTTTTTTAGGCACGCTTTTGAAAAACGTCGCCTATAGAAAAGGAATAGGGGACGATTATTTGCGGCCTCTGAGATGACGTTTTTTAAGCGTTGCCAAATTCGGCTACAATTAACAATCGTTGCCTTAAACCTGAATCAGGAAGGTCGTTTTTGAAGTGTAGCCATAGCTTATAGGTTGTTGTTTTATAGTGTCCACATAAAATATACAATTTTGCAATTATTATCAAAATAATATAGTCAATAATAATTAGCTTCAAAAATAATATTGATTATATAACTTAAACCATACATCCATAAAAGTTGTAATATAATAAAATCGAGTTCAAACTTTAATTCAAGATATAATATATAGAGTACACAAAATGCCTAATGTAACATTACTTTTAATACTTTGAAGTATGACCATAGTAAAATAACTAAAAACATAGTTCAACAAAAGAACAAAAATCATATAATGCTTTCAACTACAAGCCAAAAAAAAGACATCATCCAACTCACTCAAGTTTGTCTTCTAAGAGTAAATCATCCAGATCATCCTCTTGAAATTCGTTAGATATGTCATCCTCCATAAATTCTTCATCTACGTCGTCCTCTTGAAATTCACCATCTATATCGTCCTCTTGAAATTCATCATCTAGATCTATGTCGTCCTCTTGAAATTCGTCATCTACGTCGTCCTCTTGAATTTTATCATTTAGGTCGTCCTCTTGAATTTTATCATTTATGTCGTCCTCTCGAATTTCATCATTTATATCGTCCTTTTCAACATCTTCATTGATACATTGCTGCATAAGAAAATAAAATAAAACACATCAACCATAAATATTTTTGGTCCAAAGGACAATTAAGACATCAACAAGAATTAAACCTCACATAAATAAAAACTAAACCAATGAGCAAAACACATTGTTTATATTCTTCACATCTCATGTCATGGGTGGGCTTTATATTACTTTACTTATCTTCTCATACCAGGAATATTCATAAAAAATACTCAATGTTTTACTTTAAGTCTATATGTCTAAAGTTGAAAATTTAGATTTTTCTCTTTTGCATATAACAAATCTTAAACAGTTTCAGCCACTTCTAGGTGTTGTCACTACTTAAACAATTTCAACCACTTACTTTATTCTAGGTGTTGTCACTACTTGCAAATTTTTGCATACATTAACAACCATTTTGATACTATAACATAATTAGAAAAATATAAATCAATAATATTGGTATATATGGTTACCTTTCCATGACATGGAGCATGAGTTGATGTAGATGAATGCATTTGCGGTCTTATATCCTTTGGGGAACTATTAGCATCTCCATGAGATAATCCTAACAAATCTTCAATTGACTCTATATTAATTTGAGGATTGCATTGTTGTATTACGGTCTTAAAAGCATTTTGCAATCTATCAATCTTATCTTGAAACTCGTCCCTTAATGTAGAGACCTCTTCACTGTGGGCTTGTTTCAAAGCATTAATCTCTGCCTTTCTCTTTAAGGAAGTTTTAGTTATGTTTCTCCCATAACAGCGTACCCTGCCTGGACACTCCTTTCCAAAAACAACTTTAAAAGCTTTTGTATCACTTTCCTCCTTTTCAACCATTTCTTGAAGTTGGGACTAGCATAAATTACAAAAAAAAAATATTAACTACTATTATAGACAATGTTGGCCGATTATATTAAGCAAACGTATTATATAAACAATGTTACATACAATTACTTTTCCAGTTTCTACATCCAGTTCCTTTCCTTTATTTCCTTTTCGAGTTTCAACAAACATTTCTGATTGAGTGGGCTCCCTTTTTTCCTATTCACGCTGCACAAATCAAAATAGATCCATAACAAATCATGTGAATTAAAATTCCTATTCACGAGTCAAAGAAAAGTTTTTCACGAATACTTTAATTGAACAAAGAAACATTCATACAAGGAATACTTTATTGAGAACAAAAGAAAGTTACCACTTTTTTACGAGTCAAAGCAAAGTTTTTGGGACCCATTCGATGCATCCACTTTAGTTGAGCTCTATTTCAAGTGTTATTTTCACTGATTGCCTACATTTAAATTTGACGGAATTATTATAATAAATATTACTTAATTATGGCATACATAGAAAGGTGTAAATTCACACACATACATAAAAAATTATTAATCTTACTTGTATAGTTTCCTTACTCCAATAAGCACAAAGACTCTTAAACTGGGATATTGGCACGTTTGGCGGACGATTTTTGAGTCTCTCGGTCATGTTGGAATACTTCAAAAAATGATTCTTCTTAATTTTGTGCTTATATCTTCTCCATGCCTCTCTAACAGTGGTCTCAATCCAATCTCGTGCTTCAACCGGCAAGATAAACTTCCGCTACATAAATTATAAGATAAGACAAGATCAAGAAATAAAACACTTTTTTTAATAATTATACTTTCAAATTCATAGATAAAAACATACATTAGTATATCTCCAGAAACGGTTTTTATTATCATCTGGCATTCCTGACCAATTGGTGTAACGTAGAGGACAAAATGTTGAGTTCCTAGCCAATGTTCCCAAGAAGAGGCTCAAGTCAGATACTACTTTTCCACTAAGACCAATTGGCTGAAAATCCTCATTAAAGGTCACTTCTACTCGCTCTTCCAAAGTTCTTGCATGAATCTTTTTGCACAAAGTTTTCCCACGAGTTTTTCTTTGGGATGTTTCTATAAAGTAATCAACACAACAACATGATATCACATGTTTGCTACCAATATGTAAATAATACATGAAATCATTATTATGAAATATGAAACTAATTACCTTTTTCTTCTCTATTTGTGATTGCATCTTCTTCGTTGACTTTTGCCCGATTTTGAACACTTTCTTGTCGAGTTCCTTTTTTTGGCTGATTTTGATTAGAGCTACGGTTAACACTTCTGCCCGGTTTTTCTCCATTGTTTGACTTGGTTGCATCCATTTCCTTTGACTTGTGAAGATCTATATAATCATCAATCAACATTGATGGGCATTTTCGCACCCTGTTTAGCTTTTTAGAGCATTCAGCTTTTGACATCATTGTGTCCAAAGATAGAGTAGATTTCTCTGGTTTCTTATTTTTGGAAGAAATAAGTATTCTCCTTGCAACTGGTTTTTCCACCTTTTGAATTTTATCTCTATTGTTCTCTAGTAGATTCTCATGAATTCTTTTTTTCAGCATTCTTGGTTTCAATGTAATTTTCTCGTCATAATAATGTCATGAAAAGAAATATATAAATTTAAAGTATATGCAGGGATATTAACTACCTTGTGAAACTTCTTTGTTTCCATGTGCAAAAACTTCCTTAGCTTGTGGTTGCAAAAGCTTAGGTCTCTCTGCTTTCTTCATAGCAATGTGGTTTTCCAATTTTCCATCAACCTTTTGAATTCTTTCTCTATTCAATGTAGCTTTCACTTGAGTTCTTTTCTTTGGTGTTTCTAATTTTAGTAAAAATTCACCAAAAGATATTAGGAATAATTTCATGTAATATATGCATAATAGAAAAATTTAAAAATCACTTACCTTGTACAACTTCTTTGTCACCATGTGCACGATCTTTCATTACTTTTGGTTGCGAGAGTTTGTCTATCTCCATTTTCTTTGCAATAGTCTCTTTGTCCAAATTGTGATCAACCTTTTGAACTCTTTCTTGTTGAGTTCCTTTTTTTGGTGTTTCTAATTTTTGTAAAAATTCATTAAAAAATAGTAGGAATAATATATCTAAAGGAATTCCAAAACATAACTTTAACATACATCATTTTATATAAAATCAAATGAAACAAGAAAATGATTTACCGTCCACAACTTCTATAATTTCCTGAACCCTTTCTCTATTGTTTCCTTGTAGCATCTCATGTAACTTGTCGATTTTTTCTTTCTTAACATGTTGTAGAACTTTATTTCTCAATTCTGCACTTGATCTTACTTGAAAAGGAAAATCAAATCTTTTAGTAGGACTTCGACCACTCTTCCTATGTGATCCACCATCTTTTACACTTCTTACATTGTCCATTATGGCCAACAACTATGATCTACAAAGGGGTAAAATTACATAATTATATAATGAAAAATTGAGTATAAAGTGACATTATGCATAACCATAAATTAACAGTATATTTGAATCTAGTTTGTTATGGTTTAAGTAAAAAAATGACAGCATGCTTAACCATAAATTAAACTTTGAACAAATCTAATTTCTACTCAAAATCTATTAAAAAAATTGGTAAAACACATTGTCAATGCTACCTAATCAGTACTAGAATCATAATTGGTTTCATCGTCACTTCCATAACTCGTGTCACTGTGATCACTCTCTATTGCTTTTTGGTTGTGAAGTTCTGACAAAGGAATTTCAAAGATATCATCCAGCAAATCTTTCCTAACCAAATCCACTTCACAATCATCCCTTAATGTATTAAGATTTGTTGAAATATCATATTCTTGGGCATCTGTACTTAAAGATTCTCCCATGTCAAATGATTCCCTTGGAAGTGCATTTAGAACATAGTGTTTGTTTTTATTTAAAGGATCTTCAATAAAGAAGCATTGTTGAACTTGAGATGCCAACACAAATGGATCATTTTTGTAGCATTTTTTGTTAAAGTAAACCAACGGCGATCCATATTTATCCTTTTCATCCACAAACCAATCACATTTGAACAATACATATTTTTCATGACCATAATAATCTAACTCTATAATATCTTTTATTGCCCCATAGTAAGTCACACAAATCTTTTTGGGATTTTCATCCTTCGCATTTCTAATAACTTGAGTCACCGCTTCTAATGTCACACCACTATTTTGTGTTTTAAGCCTTGCTTCACGATTTGTTGTATGAAACCTGTATCCATTAATAACATAACCAGAATACCTTCTAACAACATCATTTGGTCCCCTAGACAACACCTTCAACCATTCAGTAACTTTCTCATCCATGAGACGTGTTTCAAACCATTGAATAAAATCTTCTCTTTGATTGTTAGCTTTTCTGGACTTCCTTTTTTTTAGAGGATTATGATCATTAACCTCATGCTCTATACAAAATAAATAACTAATATTTTAATACAAAAGAAAAAGAAAACTTATAGTGAGAATGAAATTTTGTATCAAGTAGGTGAGTCTACCTAATATACTCTTGCACTTCATCGCAATTGAATAAAATGTAGCCGTGAGCTTGGTTTAGAGACTTATGATCAAGGGAAATTAGTTTCTTTCCCCCGATTGGATGACCTATGTTTGGAGTATCATCGCTATTTCGTGTCATTCTATTCATCCTTGTGTCTACAGCACTAGACAAATGTCTTGAACAAAATGTTAGAGATTCTTTAACTAAGTATGCTTCAGCGGTAGAACCCTCTGGACGACTCCTATAACGAACAAAAGATTTTAAATCACCCAAATATCTTTCCATATAATACATCCATCGAAATTGAACCGGTCCACCCAATCTAACTTCATTTGCCAGGTGAATTGGTAAGTGAACCATTATGTCAAAGAAACTCTGAGGGAAGATACGCTCGAATTGGCAAAGTGTTTCAGCAATTTCTACTTCCAAGTAATCCAATGTTTTCACATCTATAACCTTCTGGCATAAACACCGTAAAAATGAACAAAGTCGAAGCAAAGGGATAACAATTTGATTAGGGCATATCCCTCTTATTTCTACTTGCAACAAGTAATGCAATATAATATGAGCATCATGACTCTTGTATCCAGAAACTTTTCCTTCATTAACTTGAACACATCGAGAAATATTGGATGCAAGGCCATCAGGAAGTTTTACTGTCTTTAAAACATTACAAAAAATAGTTTTCTCTTGCTTTGTTAGGGAGAAACATGCCTTAGGGATTTGAGTTTTCTTACCATCAATTGTTTCCGTCAAATAAAGTTTTTTTCTAATCCCCATGTGTTATAGGTCCAAACGAGATTTTGCATGATCCTTTTTCTTCCCTTCAATATCTAAGAGAGTCCCCATTATATTATCATAAATGTTCTTTTCTGTATGCATAACATCTACATTATGGCGCAAAGAATTATCCTTCCAATATGGTAATTGCCAAAAGATAAACTTTTTCTTCCATGGACCAGGCCTTTTTTTATGATATTTTTGCCCCACTACGTCAGGAATCTTTTCTAAGTCTTTTAAAATCATTGTTGAATCTAACAAGGAGGGTGCAGATCTATATTCTAGATTTCCATCAAAAGAACTTGAATTTGATCTCCAACTATGATTTGAATCCAAAAAGACTCGATGACCCATATAACACATCTTTCGACTATGTTTTAAGTATCTTGAAGAAGTTTTATGATTACAAGCAGGACAAGCAAACTTCCCTTTAGTACTCCAACCGGATAACATAGCATATGCAGGGAAGTCATTCACAATCCACATAAGAGCTGCACGCATTTGAAATGATTGATTTTTTGAAATATCATATGTTTCTACACCGACTTCCCACAATATCTTAAGCTCCTCAATTAGTGGCTGCAAATACACATCAATTTCATTTCCGGGTGACTTTGGTCCAGGAATAAGTAACGACATCAAACAATTTTCAGCCTTCATGCACAAATTTGGCGGATATATTGTTAATACAACAGGCCATGTGCTATGTGAAAGACTCATGGTCCTAAATGGATTAAACCCATTACTTGCCAACCCAAGTCTGATGTTACGAGTTTCACGAGCAAAATCTGAATGTTTGGCATCAAAGTCTTTCCATGCTTGGGCATTAGCTGGATGCCTTAACTTCCCATCCCTTGAACGATGGTCTGCGTGCCACCTCAATGTATCGGCTGTCTTTGAACACATAAAAAGTCTTTTCAATCTTGGAATCAATGGAAAATGTCTTAGAACTTTGGCGGGAACCTTATGAGCTTTTATAGATTCTTCAAGATCATTAGCAACTTCAGAATATTCAATCCACCTTGACGTGCCACAAATATGACATGAATCATCTTTCCCGTGATCTTTCCAAAACAACATGCAGTTGTTCAGACATGCGTCAATCTTTTTATAGTCTAAGCCCAAATCTTTTATCATAGATTTTGTTTTATTGAAAGAGACAGGGATGTTCAAATCTGGCATAGCCTCTTTCAACAACTCTACGAGAGCAGTGAATGATGCATTACTCCATCCATGGAGACATTTTAACAAATAAATTCGAATAGTGAATGATAACGAGGAAAACTTTTCACAACCAGGATACAACTCTTGATTTGCATCATCAACTAGTTTATAAAATTTCTTTGCATCTTCATTTATCCCTTCATGTACTCCACTTCCTTCAGCCACATCTTTAAATGTCTCAAATAGTAAGCCATCGATATCACCATGAGATGATGTTTCATCATCACTATCACCATCAAGATCTATAAGGCTCTCATCTTCACCATGATAAATCCATTCAGTGTATCCCTTTACAAATCCTTTACTACATAAATGGTCATAAACTACATCTCTTACTTCCCAACTATCATTGCAACATATGGAACAAGGATACAAAACCTCTTCTTCTTCAACCATTCCTTTGGTGAATGCAATATCCAAAAAGTAATTTACACCGTCCTTATAACTTTGATTGTGTGGAGGTAACTCCACCCAATCCTTCTTTATCATGTTTGGTTTTCTAAAATGAAATAAATTATACATTAATCTTCATCATATAAAGGATGGAAAGACACCATGGTTCATATATCAACGTAGCTTTTACAAATGCATAGTTATTATAAAAATTTCATTTGTAATCTAAATATACACTAAACATGCATTCCAATACCAAACATAGAATAAATTGGTGAACTTTTAATCTAAACATGCATTACAAACATAAAATAAATGAGCTAAACTATTTTACATATGTTACTTCATGGAAGAGATAGTTTAAGGTTGTCTTTGTCTATATCCATTGGATGATGTTTTTTACATATGTTTCTTT